CACTTACGGTACACGTGGATCAGGGGAGGGGCAGTTCTCGTATCCCCATGGTGTCGTCACAGACGCAATGGACTACATCGTGGTAGCAGACAGCTCCAACAACAGGATTCATCTGCTTACCCCTGATGGCATGTTCCATAGTTACCTCCTAACAGCGAGTGATGGTGTTGTCCTACCATATGCTGTTTCTATCAATCAAGCAGGGCAACTATTGGTTGGGGATCGCAATGGACAATTATTCATTATCACATACAGAGAATAAGGCAAGTAAAACACAGTGACAATTAGTATTAAATTCTACTACACTATTAGGCTCTATTACATGAATATTATAATACATGAAAATACAAACTTCCACTGAAATTAAAACAGTTATATGTAAATAATGTTATTTCAAGACATTTCACTGAACAATAGTTGCAATTAGTAGAGATAATGTATTTAACACAGAGGAAGGAATTGTGTCTGACATATACTACGCTGAAGAACATTTAACCTGGCCAGTATACGGTTTACATATACGTATTGTACGTTCGTTTTCTTGTCTTTCATAATGACGAATGATTACTGCTGTTAAGGTTAACAGAAGTAAATGTATTCTGATGCTGACAAGTGTCAACACTTTCTTATTTTCAATTGGTCAGTTGTAAAATTAGTAAATGAATTTAATGAAGATAACAATTTTCGGAATAGATCATTTAAAAATGTGCACTTGTTTGTCGAATCAACGAAAATAAAAACACGAATCGATAAATGTAAAATATTTAAATATCAAATTACATTTTGTTTTGTCATTGTGTTTCAGTTCAAATTCTGAACACTGAGCTTTTCAACAAAACTTACTTTCTATTATATTGATGAATCATCAAGCTTCGGACAGTCCGAAGCGTGGGAACCGACGATGCCATGTACAACGCAAGCTTATAATCATAATGTTTAATGAGGACACACCATTAGCCATAATCCTAACGGTCCGAATCCTATTCGTCCGAATCCGAAAGGTCCGAATCTCAATCATCTGAATCCCATTCGTCCAAAACCACATAATATGGTCAATGACTAGTATAGCTTCATCAAGATGCGGGCAAATCCAAACGATGTGATTGAGCATGGAGACCAACCGTGACCATGCCATGCATATCGAAAGGTTATAATCATAATGGTTAATGACTTTATGCTAACAACTACAACTGACGTAAACCCTGAGTGCTATGAAGAATAATTACTCTACATATCATAATGATAATGTAATACTCGCATGAATCATAGCGATGAACACCTTGCAACACAAATGGAACGGTATCAATCGGATAGAAACGTTGATGCATGGAGATTCAAATGAAGGAAGTAATACTCAGACGTTTTGCGACATTATGGTATAGTATATAACAAGATGAAATGCTCACAATATTATCCTGGGTACCATCATTAAATATAAGTTCACTAATATCCCCTATTTAAATTTGATTAATACTTTTTCTAGACCTTCCTGACATTTTCTCCTTTCGAATGGTCTATTGAAAAAAACTTTCTAGTTTCGACGGAGCCCTACAAAGTACACATCTCTTCATTTTGTGAAGCTATTCTCCAAAATAGCAATTTATTGTATGGAGATGTCTGTGTACAGAACATTAACTGTTTTGTATGGGGCATATACTTTATTGTTAAGAACAATTTAATCTAAAATAGTTCAAAACAATATTGGTTAAAACATCAACATTATTGTGATGGAAACAGTATACAGATTGTAGACAAAAATATTGTACAGAAGAATAACGTGTGGTATAAAAACATCTAAAATATAATCTTAACGACCACAGGCAAATCACCTTACAGCTATAGTAACCAATGGTGGTGATCAACATTACTTTGCTGAAAAACAATGTAAAGTTAAACGGATCAGAGAGAGAATGTACAGAAAAATAACTGTATTCTATAAAACTTCAACTTTATTGTGTTGAACAATATTCAGATTTTCGGATCGGGAAAATTTGGTACAGGACAATACCCGTATAGTATGGAACACCAACCACATTTTCTGAACAACTCTACAGAAATTGTACAGAACAACAAGATATTGTATAAAACAATTACCGTATTATATAGAACATCAACATTTTTGTGCTTAACGAAAATACATCACGAAACAAAAGGACTGTACATAACGATACGATTGTTGTATGAAACATCAAGACTATAGTGCTGAAAAACAATAACTTAAAGATTGTATGGAACATTGAAACATTGTACAGAACAATAACCGTTTTGTATGATACATCAACATTATTATGATGAACGATAATATATAAAGATTGTACTTATCAATTGGAAAGAAATGTTCACACACGACCATCAAATGAAGATAGTTATGTATCTCAACTTCATGCTGACCTGCCAACCTAAAAAGAAAATTGCAATACTTCTACGGGAGATTTTGAAAGAACGGGAGTTTTTACGTAGTTTTTTACGGTAGATTTTTTAAAAAGGTAGTTTACGCGGTAGATTGTTAAACAACGTGAGTTTTTTACTGTAGATTTTTGAAAAAACGGTAGATTTTTGAGAAAACTGGAGTTTTAGAGGTAGGTTCTGAAGAAACGGGAGTTTTTACGGTAGATTTTCAAAACGGGAGTTTTTGCGATTTGTTCTGAAAAACAGTAGATATTGAAAGGTCGATTTTTGAAAAATGTTGGTTGTATACTTTTTGTTTTCATACTAAACACAAGTAGGATTGGCTTTCAGGGACGCCAATCGATGTTCTGTTCCATAAATGGGTATCACGTTGTCATGTTATGAATACAAAATGCAATCAAGAATATTGGCCATTCTCCTTGCAGCCGTAGAAATATACAGACAAGATTGAAAACTGCCGCATCGGTTGGAGATTACATCATATCGAGTTGGAATCCTGGCTTCCAATCCTTCTTGTACTAAACGGAAACATTCCAATAATTATGGGTAGGGGCTGCTGTGAAATAATGAAATAAATAAATTATAAATTCTAATTCAGTTATTAACCGCGCACTCGTTTTAATAATTTGAACCAATTATATTGCTGAATTTAATGCATATGCGTAAAAAATCTAGTGGATTGGTGATTGCTTACAACATGTAAAACTCTTAAAGTTGGCCTAGAACAAGTATTATGAGGGTTTGTTTGCTCAGTGAGGGGAGAGAAGTGGATAGCTACCATAATTCTTTGATATTCATGAACATAATTTATTCATAGCACGTCCATTAGTATATTTTGTCCATTCAAATTGTAGCATATAATCACGTGAACAATTATGAGCAAGTGCTCTCTTAAGGCCGTGTATGCCCAAATAGACTCACACATTTCGTCATGGCCGTGAAACTGAGAGTAAAAGAAAGAAATCGAAGAACGACTCCAATAATCAAGGTCACAAATTCGTCAAATTCATTTTAAATATACGGTAGAGTTCGACAGCAAAAAAAGATTTTACGGCCATTTTCACAGGAAAACGAGTTTAGAAAAAAAACATTTACGAGAAATTCACGTAAAACGGGAGGTTGGCAGGTCTGGCATTCACAAGAAACGCTCATAATATTATCCTGGGTACCTTAACTAAGTATTAGGGCACATATATTCCCTATCTAATGCAATAAGACTTGAAATGGCAACAGGCAATTTATATCAAATAATGTATGTCTATGTATATTTACATGCGTTTAATCAATACAAATTTGGATAAAATGGAGTCATTATTGTTAAACTCAAAGCACATTACATTGTTTGCCAAATAAAACCCTTTGCATTATCACTGTGTATTTAAAAATATAAATAGCGATAAACAAGGAAGTTAAAAAGGTGCAATATGATTCGTAGAGCGAATAGCATCAGTGAATACTTCTTCATCGAACAACACTTTATCTGAAAGCATTCAATTCAATCTTTTCATATTGCATGCAAAATATTCTTTTTTGTTATGTGGAGAAGTTGTGCCTTCACAAGAGGAATTGAGCACATATAGGAGTTTTTATACTAGACGATTCACAAGTGGCGGACTGATAATCATTTTCGATTGAACAGGGTGAGATATTAAAATTATTCTTTTTATTGAAATCTTAATTGCGTTTCTTAATTGCTATACTAGTATTTGTTTTGAATCTCATCTAAACACAAGTTGTTTAATTCAATTTCGCTACAGAAATGTATTCAATTTGTTTGTATAATCTATTTTCGAGGCTATATTGTTTGGGTCTGGTCTCAAGAAATAGTTCAGTAACCTTGTACACTTTGGATTATGATAATAGGTCCTAAAGGTAAAGGGGCATTGGAGTATTGTTTCATGACGACATTCTGTTACTAACTAAACTGTTTATCTTGCATAGAGTGACTTGTAAAATTTCGCACGAAAATGTGTAAAAATCGGAACACACCTCTTCCTTTAACCCCTAACACCGATGACATCAATTACATCAACATGGAAGCCCGTTCTAAGCACAATGCTAGTGAGACTGAACCTGGTGATTTCAACATGGATGTATATGCAACTTTGGGTGAGCGGAACCAAGAGGAAATTAACAGTAATCCTACCTATGAGAATCTACCAAAACGGCAAAATGAGAAATCATTTCTCTTGAAATGTGATTGGAAGATCTTCGTAGCAGGTGCAGTTATCGTTATCTTGATGGTTCAATGTATTATCATTGGACTCACCAGTGGAGGCGTTTTTCAAGGTAATGCTCCAGATTTTGAATAGTTCAGGCCCGTATCCAGGATTTGCCAGGGGGGCACTTTTGGAAAAATTCCAGGGGGTTCATTTTTGACAATTTTGGCCCTAAAATGGCTAAAATCACTTGAAAAGTGCCAAGAATTTTGAAAAACTGCAGCGTGATTTTGAATGTTTAGCCTGGGGGGGGGGGCTTCGAGTACATGGGTTAAAGTTTTCATTTTAATGATTAACGGTATTTGTTTTTATCTATTTGTAGGTAAAACCCTTACTACAATTAATCGAAAACTATCTAACTTGACAGAAAACATTGTTTCATGGAAAGCTGACATCATGGACACCCTCAAAATATTAGGTGAGAGTCTTATCACTTTGCTGTTAAGTTTATAAGTTAAACTGAACATTTTTGCTCCCGATGGCGTCGTCGGGCTAGTCTCAGAATCTATGTTAACATCGACTATGTATTTACAGATATAGATGAGTGCTCCAGTAATCCATGTCAAAATGGTGGAAGTTGTATGGATCGATTCAATGGTTACCAATGTGCCTGCGTTCCTGGATATGAGGGTGTGGAATGTGATATTGGTAAGTTCAGTAAAATGAATGGCTGAAACAGGAGGAGTCTCACCAACAACTTTAAATTACCGTCACGGTCTCAAAGTCTCATACTAACAATTACTGTGTCAGATTTACTATTAATCTAATATAAAAACAATCAGGTAAGGTCTGAGAATCTCATCAAGTAATGCTTGTTTTTCACGAACAGAATTATACAAGGGGCGATCCATATATTCTGAAAAAATGCTCTTATTTCATGATTTTTCAGATATAGACGAGTGTTCTAGTAATCCATGCCAAAATGGCGGAAGCTGTGTTGATGGAGTCAATGGTTACAATTGTACGTGCGCTCCTCGATATGGGGGTACGAAATGCGATGTTGGTAAGTTAAGGTACAACTTCACTGTTGATTAACTTTTTTCTACAATTCACATTTTCTTAAAGAAATTTTAAGTGAAGGATATACTGATGTATAACAAAATATGTGAACATTGGATTGACCGTTTGGTTACTTCTAGAATATATTTGAATTTAACATTGGTTTCAATGAGGAAATGCATTTTAAAGATAAAACAATTTAAAACTCAAATTCTCTTTAAAAAACATCATTCTATAGGACACAAAAAGTATTTAAAAATTATTTATGAAAATTCACCGTCGGGATTTTGAGAAAAAACGTCGAAGATTATGAATCAAAGGGCAATTTTATTATTCTATTGTATATAATGACTCATATTGCCAAGAATGTCTTGACAGGTCAACATAAGTGTGTTATATAAAAACAGACCAATCATATGTATTGTGGACGATTAAAAATAAAGATAGATTCTGCCGGGTTTAAAAATCACTCTCGGGGTTAAGAAATTTCTGAAACCATGCGCTCTAACTTTCGCAAGCGGCATTTGTTCTATCGATTGAATGTTTTCAAATCAACAAGTATTGTGTATCGTTTTATGCAGCACGAATGTTCATTTAATGATGGAGAAGTTCCCTGCAATCTGAATTGTCCATTTGACTTAAATAAATTTGGAATTTACACGCACTGTCCACTTACCGTGGGATACAAAGTGAAACATGACGTCACCGTGGGCTACGGATTCTGACCGAGATTCTCACGACCCGGGTTTCATCCAGGATATGACTGTCCACTGTGATTAGTTCACGCTAACGCGTGCTAATCGTTGATTTTTGCTATAAATATCTGATTTAAATATGAGGAAATGATACTGTGATCATCACAATTAATAACTTTAGGATAAAAACACGTATTTGTAAATATAAGTAAGTAAATTGAAACATGCACATTGTTTAAATGAACTGGTAAAAATCCATCGGGCGAAAAAGGGTTCGTTACACTTTAAGTTTGTGAAATTGGATAGGAGAGGAAAAACGTGACCCTGTAATACAGGAAAATCAAACAATGTCGAAAAGATTTGAAGGAACATATCGATGAAAAATCTATGGGTTGAGACGTTTGATCTGTCTCATTTTTCTCCCAATGAAAACTTTCCCGGGCACAATATTTTCTGTATTTCACTCGAATCATTGATTAACTTATATTCGAACATGACTGTATTCACGCCTTCTATAAACTGTAAACAAAGTCAATGCTTCAGCTGGGTTATATTCGAGATCAATAACCCAGTTAATACGTGTAATGTTTGACGTCATAACGTCATAACGGACTATGATGAATATTCGAAACATTTTTGTGAGTTTTCATGTTCGAATCGTAATATAGACCTCAGAGCAGGGTTACTAGTTTCGAATAACACCCCGCCGGTCTCGGCACAAAAGCTTTCGAACCCCTCACTCCCTTCGGTCGTTCGGGGTACAGAAAACGTTTGTGCCGAGACCAGTGGGGTATTATTCGAAACTAGAAACCCTGCTCTTTGGTCTATATTTCTTAAATATCACTGTAATACTCCAATAACGTTTAGTTTAATTCAGTTTATTTACCTCCCGTTTAAAGAGCTCTCATGTATGGTCTCTAGTCAGATCAACTAACAAAACAACCTCTTTTGGGGTTGTCGAGTTGGCTGAGAGGGCTTGGGCGCTAGCACGTTCGAACCAGGCGATTAGACGCCGTAACCACGAGTGCTCCTTGTGTTTAGTTATTTAAGTATGCTGTATATGGCAACGCCCTCCGAACTTGCTGTTAAACACAACCCCCATTTCCATAAGAAAAAGTATACACATTACCGAAATGTTCCAATATATTATGTATAATGAAACAGTGTGCTATTATGAAGCTAACTAATAAATGAATGAATGAACGAATTTTTTATTCATGTAGATTTATTTAGTTTAGGGATTTTACCCCTGCCTAATGAGACAGGGCGATTTACGAGGGGTGATCAATAAGTAATGGACGCTTTTTTACACAGATACTTTTTATTGACCAATCCCTTTGATTTTCCTACCAGTGATACATCATTCAATTATCTATCAATTCTGAAGATTTGAAGACAAAATATGTTATACATACAGTAGAACCTGTGTAAGTGGCACACCCTCCGTTCTGCCAAAAAGCGTTCCACTTAGGAGGTGTTCCACTTACGGAGGTTTTGGGTTTCGCGGGGATTTAAAGAACATACAATATTATATATAGGGATAATATGTATCACTGAAAATAAGATTCTCCGATCATTGCAGGGCACGTATTTTGCATTAGTTATCCATTTGTTTTACTCAAAAAGGTATCTGACATTCTTAATCCTCCTCATTCTGCCAAAAATGTTTTCTGACATTCTCAATCCTCCTCATTCTGCCAGTCTCAGACACTAAGATTTGGCAATTAAGATTAAGAGACTTGTTCCTACTGCTAATAATTCATTTGTTTTTAACTGACATTCTTAATCTTACTTATTAAGTTTGAAACAAACAGCAAGGGGTATTAATTAGTAGTAGCGTCACATGTCCATCTATTAATCCAATTTGATGAATGATAATCTTATGAAATCCTAATTTGCTAATTATCAACTTAATTAGTGGTAGTATCACATGTTGATCTCTACAGGAGGTTAATCCAATTGTATAGTTTCTAAATAGCTGAAAAATGATTACGTAATAGATGTCACCCTTGCTTGTCTTTGATTTTCTAGGGCCAGACCTCCACTCAATTCAATGCTAGAAACTTGCAATAGTCACTTAATTTCATGATTTATCAAAAAGTGTTGGTTGAATCTGTCTGAAACTCGAATGGAATACTATTGGATGGCCCTGTCAATGTACATATTGTGATTAAACATGAAAATATTGGTTGTCATACGAATAAATCAAGGTTTTAATGAATTTCAGCATTGCACCAATGGAGATTTGGCCCAAGTTTTTTTAAAATGTCATGGAAAATGATTTAAATGACATAACTGTGTAAACCAAAGCTACAATTGGAGAAAATTTGTCACAGAATCCAAATATGCTATTAAAAATAAAGAAAAGTAATTCATTAGAGGAAAAAAAGTGCAAATCTCTTAAAATCTCATGTAAAAACGAGAATTAGCGAGATTTCAAAGCTATTTAGAAACTCCTCTATTGGCTATATGGTAATCAATTAAAATCCTAATTTGCCAATTATCATGTTATTACCTGTTTTCATACCCAGATATCACTGTAGGAGGTTAATTTTGTTTACATAAGTATCAATATTGAAATTTATGGAAAATTGACTGTTCCACTTAGCAGGTTAATTTTTCAATATGGGGTGTTCACTGTTCAAGTTTGGAGGTGTTCCACTTACAAAGGTTTAATTAATATTAAGTCAATGGGTTTTTTAAACGGGACTTTGAAAAAGCGTTCCACTTGTGAGGTGTTCCACTTATGGAGATGTTCCACTTCGCAGGTTTTACTGTATTGATATATCCTTATTTCCGTGAAGGAGGTACAGGTACCCCAGGACCGACATTTACGTCACATATTTAGTTTTTAGCCAGTTTGGTAAATTTGAGTTAGATTTGAACTTTTTATATGCAACAAGTGTTGTATTGTTTGAAATTATTTGCTTACTGGTAACACATAAACAGAAAGTATTGTAATGTCAGAGTGTTGTATGGAATGGGTTTGCAGGTCAATTTGAGAAAGCATTGTGGAAGAAAGGGATGATGAGAGAAGGGAACACCCTACTTCATATGGGCAATGCACCTGCCCACAGATCTCAAAATGTTCAGAAAACAATATCCCTGGACCTCAAAATTTAGCCCTTGGCCAATACACTATATTGTCCACATCTGCTCACATGTGACTTCTTTATTTCTATACTACTTATTTCTATAGAGAAAGGATGCAGGTTTATTAACATTGATCAGATAAAACAACCCGTGCAACTGCATCTTGCTACCATGTCAGAGAATGGATTCAGCCTTGTCTCACAATCTTAGGAATTGTGTACATGTAGCACTTGATGGAACCTGTTTAGAGGGCCCTGTGGAATGAATGTGGCATGAATACCACATAGCGATGATAAAATATTCAAAATCAACTATGGCATAACAAAATGGGGTAATTCATGACCATAATGGTTTGTTTTGTTCAGACTGCATTCAACTGCATTGCATGTTAAACAAGCTAAAATAGCTTCAGAATATGTGACGTAAATGTCGGTCCCAGGGTACCTGTACCCCCTTCACGGAAATGAGGATATATCAACATGTATTATATATTTTGTCTTCAAATCTTCAGAGTTGAAAGATAATTGAATGATGTATCACTGGTAAGAAAATCGAAGGGATTGGTCTATAAAAAGCATCTGTGTAAAAAAGCGTCCATTACTTTTTGATCACCCCTCGTAGAGGGATATTTAGATTGAGGATAAAATGTGTATGCTTTTATCAATAATAGGCTTGAATCAGAATCCCTTTTCAATTTTATTGTGATGTACGAGAGTGGGTTGTAAAGTAAGTTGCACTTTGACCTAATTCCAAAACAATACATCCAATCAACTTTTTAGATGATTAA